TCATCGGTAAAGTCAGCACAAATTCCAGGCACTGACACTGAGAAATAGGGCAGGGAGCTTGCGCACCCTCTAGACTCAGACTCTTTCCTTCATGGACTTATCCTCTCACTCCCTTTAATCCCCACCTTGTCCCTGCACCCCACCCTGCAGACAAGCGTTTCCAAGAAAACAACAAGGACAATTCAATTATTCTGATTCCTGTGCTGTGTAACCTGCAGGGAGAGTGTGCCTTCTCTGAACCTGCTTCCCACTCTGTAGAGGTAGGGGTGCTGACTCTTGGGGATCACCCCACTGCCAAGCCTCCAGTCTCTACAGGGCGAATGAGGGAAGAAGAGAGTTTCAGAAGTCACTCACCTGGCATGTATCAGCCCCACTGCTTTCATTTGCACAGACCATAGTATCTGTGACTTGCCCAGGGTAGGCATCTTCACATTGCTTCTGAGGAATAATTTCTACTTCTGTGCAGTTGAGGGTGTCAGGAAAATTCTCTGAGGGGGCAGAGGTTGCAAGTTCCCAGAGACAGCAACACTTTCCCCTCCATCCCTGTCTGTAGCTAACCTCCCTTCTGTGTATCCACAGCTGCACAGGGTTTTCTGACACACTTCACAGGGCACATCACTTCTCACCACATGAAACAAAGCCATGGCCCCTGCTGTTTCTTTTTCTCCACCTAAAGCAGGACCTTTGGACCTTACCTTTCGTTTCTTGCCCTGAGTTATTTTCAAATTAAGGTGTCCCCTTGGGACACCTCTGACCCTTTCTAATCTTTCCATTCCCAGACCACCAGGTCTTCAATCTCAGCTAAATCCTACTTCTTCCAAATATCACCTCTTCCTAGAAGCCTTCCCTGACTATTCTAATGAAAACAACACATCTCGGGACTTCCCTGGCAGTCCGGTAGTTAAGACTTCTTCCAATGCAGAGGGTGTGGGTTTGATCCCTGGTCGGGGAGCTAAGATCCCACGTGCCTCAGGGCCAAAAAAAACCAAAACATAAAGTAACAACTTCAATAAAGACTTTCAAAAAAATGGTCCATATCAAAAAAAAAATCTTAAAAAAACCCCAAAACACCACATCTCCATCACTCCCTATTCTCTTCCCCCCATGATATTCCATTATAGCACTTGACTGTACCTAATATTTCATTTTATATGTATTTGTTTATTGTCTATTTCCCCACCTAGCATGCAACTCCATAAGGCTTTGTACACTACAGTACCTGGGGGCATATCAGATGCTCACAAAATAAGTGTTGAATTGGTGATTGACAGTGGAATTAATCTTTCTTATTAACCTTTGAAGAATAGACTTGAGAGGGAAAAAATTCTATCTGGTACCTCTATGTGCCAGAAGGTACAGGCCCACAATCTCATTTAACCCTCACAACAGCTCTTTGAAGGAGGAATGCTTTCATTCTTTCATCCATGCATGCTTTCAACAAATGTTTATTGAACACATACCATATACCAGTCACCACCCTGGGCACTAGGAACACACAATGAAGCAAATAGATATAACCTGAGCCCTCATGGAGCTTAAAAGTCTATTGGATAATTATCCCAGTTTTGTAGAGGAGGAAAGTGAGGACAAGAGGTGGGAAGGGACTTGCCCAGAGAAAAGGGGCAGAGCCATGGTTTGAAATGACCTGCCTGATTCATGAGCAGCTAGGTTTCCACAGCATCCCATTGTCTTCTTAGGAGTCACAGGCAGGGACCTGAATCGTGACTTTGCTTTCCTGACGAACCACATCACCTCTTGAAGCTGAGCCCCGGTTTTTTCACTGTGAAGCAGAGCAAGGGGCTACCTGAACTCTGAAGCCCCAGAGGGAGGACGTCCATGGAGGTCCAGACTTGTGGGTCCAGAGCGAGGAGGGAGCTGGGGACCTAGACTGTGAGTCCTGGAGGAGGAAAGGCCTGGACTCCTGGGTGTGAGGGGATCTGGGGCGAGGAATCTTGGGTTCAGGAGGGAGAAGAGGGAGCCTGTTTTCCTGGGCCACCGAGGAGCCCACGTATCCTAAGTCTGTTGTGAAGACTACGTAAAATCCTGTACCCATAAAAGGTCTCATAACTCTCCACCTTATAGGAGGGATGCATTCATCCATCCACTCATTCATTCATCCATCCACTTTTTTGAGCCCTGTTAGCAATCTGTTCATTTGCTTCCTTTCTCCCACCACTCCTGTTAATATTCTGGTCTTTAAGGTTTCTAACATGGACCACTCGTGAACTTCAACATCACAATCACTTCCCTTTCTTTATCTACTCTACAGGCAAAGCTTTGCCAATGGCTTGGGGTCCACTGGGCCAACCAGCTTCTCCTCTCCCTCCCACTATCTTGGGGGCTGGTGACAGAGCTCCAGCTTGAGATGGTGCACTTCTGGCCAACTTGAGGGCAGTGATCTGCCAGGTTGATGGGCTTCACTTTGGGCCCCAGGGATGCCCGTTCACATGGTCAAATGAGCATCAGATCATGGTTGTGGTCCTTGTTGCTGCTGTTGTAGCAGGGGTGTGGGATGGACTGAGCCACAGCCGTTTCTTGTTCTGACCCATCCTTATTCTGCAGACCGTGATCTCCCAGGCAGACTGTGTATTTCCTGTAATGATGGGGGTAGTTCGGGAGCCAGGCAGGGATAAGGGCTCCCAGCCCCCTCCTCTCTAAGACCCAGGAGTCCAGGTCCCCTCTTCTCTCAGACCTCCATTCTAGGAGACCCAGTCCCCAGCTCTCACCTCCTGAGGCAAAGCCCCTGCCCCCTCTTGCCCCAGGCTCCAGCCCACCTCTGCCCCCGGAATCCACTCACAGTTTTTTACAGTGGGCTGCTGTGAGGACACAGTTGTCATCTATGAGAACATCCCCACATATTAGCTGGACACCCTGGAAAAAGGCCGTCTGCCAGGGCTGGTAATGGGGCCTGCACTCCTGGCCCTCCAGCACCTCGGTCTCCTGTGCTCTCAAGTGTCCTGCAGCAGGAGAGAGAGGGTTGGATCACCATCCACTGGGTCAGTGCAGGGGCCAGGAAAACCACTGTGGTTTCAAACGGATACACACACACACACACACACACACCCTCCGGTGTTTGCCTCCCAGCTTGCACATGCTGCTACACAGATACACATGTACACTCATGGAAGCCCATGAGTCATCACACACAGAGTCACACACCTGAGCATGTGTCCACATGCCCTGTATACTCCTGTGTGTATCTGTGCCCCTAAGCAGGCAGTCCTGCTGGCTTAGTGCACTCATGCCATACCAGCAGAACTCAACACATTCCTACCTGCTGCCGCGTGCCCCATGCCTCCAGCCATGCCTCAGAAGCTCCCACACGTAATTGCGTGCTTCCCATCTCCCCACATGCCACCACATGCACCCTCTTAGCCACCACCATGGAATTCCCACAGGCTCAGGTGCTCCACGGATGACTTCCGGGCCCCCCCTCCGCCCCCCACCTGCCCGGGATTCCAACAGCAAGAGCGGGAACATCTAGATCCAGACTGCAGCAGCTGTGGGATGTCCCATGGTGGGGTCCGGGAGACAGAGAGGACAGGGCTGAGATCCTAGGGATCTTGGGATTGGGGAGGAAGCAGAGCTTCTGGAGCAGTTCTTCTGGGTCCCGCTGGAGGAAGGGGCTGGGGACCCAGATCCTTGGCTCTGAAGAACGGGATGGGGCCCCAGATTCCTGAATCTGAGGAGCTGGGAGCTCAGGGGCTGGATTCCTACATTCCAAGGAATCCCCAGACGCCCGGGTCTGAAGGGAAAGGGAACTGGGAGCTGGGACGTCTCAGTCTTGGAGAGCAGGGGCTGGGGTGCGGATTCTTGGGCCTCAAAGGAGGAAGGGATCTGAGGCTGAGGTCCTGGGCCCTGGAGGAGGGGGCTCAGGGGCCTGATGCCTGTGTCTGAGAACTTTGGCCTCTCACCTTACAGAACTCAGGGGGCGGGGTTACCTACTGATTCGGATCCAGAGGAAGAGCACCCCGTACTTCAGCTCTGCCTGCCTGGTACAAGATTCTGGAGCCTCTTAACTGGGACCACCAGTCTCCTAATCCAACCCCTCCCACTTGGGGGCCGGCGGAGCAGCAGGGAACTGGAACCCTGGTTATGAGTGAGGAGAGGCTCAGGGGCTGAACGGAGAATCTTGAGGGAGGCGGGGTTGGAATCTCTAACTTTCTTTTTTAATTGGGGTATAGTTGTTTTACAATATTGTGTTAATTTCTACTGTACAACGAAGTGGAGTTCCCTGTGCTATACGGCAGGTTCTCATTGGTTATCTATTTTATACATATTAGCATATATATGTCAGTCCCAACCTTCCAGTTCATCCCACCACCCTCCCCTCTTCCCCGCTTGGTGTCCATACTTGTAAATTGATACAGCCACTATGGAATCTCTAACTCTTGAGGTCCGGGAGTGAAGGGGCTTACTTCTGGGTCTGAAACAGAAATGGCTGGGGGGCCCGGACATCCTGGTCCGAGCAAAGAGGGGGTGAGGGCCCCTGACTCCTGGAGCTGAGGGAGGATGGGACTGGGGACCTAGACTCCTGGCTCTGAGGGGGGAGGGGGCTGGGGCCCGGGACTGCTGGGTCTGAGGGAGGAGGGGGATGGAGGCCCGGATTTGAGGTCTGAGGGAGGAGGGGCTGGCAGCTATATTCTTAAGTCTTTTTGGAAGGAGTAATTTGGAGCCTGGGTTTTTGTGGGAGGAGGGGGCTGTCAGTAACCTGGAATGGAAGACAAGCCAGTCTTCTTGGTCCTGACTTCTGAGGGCGGATTGGCAGATTCCGGAAAGGCAGGTTTGGGAGGCGCTGTGACCTGGTTTCCCCTTCCCCTGGGGGCGATGGGACCAGCCCAAGCAGAACCCAGGAGCCTTGCTGCAATAGGGCTGATGGAGACAGACTTAGGCAGGACCTACTCGGGGCTTATGGGGAATTGCAACGCGGTGGTGGTTCCCTCTCTGCCCTCCACCGCCCACCCGTTCCCCATCCTTTAGCTCACAAAACAGGCAGTAGGAAGGCGCGGCTCCTCACGTTTAATGTAAAATTCTCCGTCCCTTGGATCGGAGGGGACAGAGAGTCTCTCCCAACTTCTCCCGGTCAGGCCCCCGCCAGGATTCAAACCCTGGACACGCCTAGAACGGGCCAGAGCTGGGCAGAGACACACTGCCTGAGTTCCACGTGGGGGAAGCTACCCTCCCGTGAAGTCACGAGGCTGGATCTATGACGAAGGAGGCGTGGCCACAAGGGGTAGCGTCCAGAGGGGAAATCTCATTGGCCAAAGCTCGGAAGGGAGGAGCTATTCAGTGGATGTCTTTACTGCGGTAGAGCCAAAGGTGATGCCATTCCATGGGGGCTGTGGCAGTTCTGGTGACGTCATAGATATGGGGCCAAGAGGGGCGAAGGTGTCTTTCCTCTCAAGGGGGTGCGGCTCTATAGTTCGCGGGGGCCAGGGTCTGAATATCTGGAAGCTGGGAACTTGAATACCCAGAAGGCGTCTCCAGACCAGCCGAAGCCAAAGGCGGAGACCATTGAGGCTGGAGTCTTGCAAACCCTCCCACCCTGCGCCCACCCTCCTTTCCTCTAAGATGCGAGGTCTCAGTTGTCCTCCATGGTTTTTCGAATCCAGTCCAGGTAGTGGCACACACTAGTATAGACAGCAGGGCGCTGGGGTCTGGAGCAGGGCTCCGAGCCCCCAGACACCACACCTGCCAGGGCCCCATTGCAAACCAGGGGGCCCCCAGAGTCACCCTGTGTGCAGAAGAAGAGCAGAGAAACTGTTAGGCCAGTCTACTCAGGACATGACACAAGGCACTTTCTCCCTCTCAGGAAGCTCCCGCTTCCCTCCTCCTACAATACCCAGGAGTCCAGGTCTCCAGTCCCTCCTCCCTCAGACCCAGGAGTAAAAGCTCATAGCCCCCACCTCCCCCTAGGACCTAGCATTGTGGACAGCTCTTTCCCCAGGACATAGAGCCCAACCCCCAGTCCCCTCCTCCTTTAGATCCAGGAATCCTGGCCCTGGTCCCACCCCCTCCCACGACCCAGGTTTCCCAGCTCCTTCCTTGCTCTGATCCAGGAAGTCTGGGGCCCCAACTCCCTTCTCCCCCAGGACCCTGGAATCCCCGCAGGATACCCATCTCTCTCCTTCCCAGAGGAGGTCTCACCTGGCAGGGGCCCCGGCCGCCCTCCCAAAGGCCGGCACAGAGCGTGCGGTAGAAGATGTGGCCTGGATATGCCCGTTGGCAGACTTTGCGCTCCAGGATGCTAATGGTGGCACACTGCAGCGTGAGTGGGTACTGCACTGTTGGGGAAGGAGGTCCATAAAAGATCAACAGCTGTTTCCATCACACTCACCCCCCCCCACTTCCCTAAGATGGACCCACGGAGCCACAGCATAAGACTCCCAAGACAAAAACAAGAGAAGGTGACAAAGCAACAGAATGACAGCATGGAAGAGAAGCAGATGGATACGATGGGGAGAGGGCCAAAGAGAGAGAGAGAGAGAGACGTAGAGAGTCAAGAGACAAGGAGAGATACGCATATACCTCACCCAGAGAAAAAGAGGGACCTTGGCAGGAGATAGAGACCTCTTAAGGGGAAAGAGATTCTCAGAGGAGGAAATGAAGAAATAGGGAGAAACAGACCCAGAGATATCCAGGGAGAAAGCAGTGAGATAAAGGGGAGGAGACATTTATAGGGAGATGGTCACTGACAGAGACAGAGATACAGATTTAGAGAGACTAGATAGAAATAGAGGGAAAGTGGGGGGAGGGGGCCTTGTAGGGAAACAGCAGCCCTTGGGGTGAACTGCAGTGGACCACAGAACCTGTATCTTGTTTGAAGGGGGCAGCCTCCACTGATTCTGCCCAACAATGGTCATTATTTTAGAAATATGAACCCAGCATTGCCAGTCTTGAATTTTTCAAGCGAATCCAGAAACTTGGCTTTGATGTAAAATCTCTCAGGTTTTAAATGTTGGCAGCAGCAAACGAAGGGTTTTTTTTTTTTTTTCAAGACATTTTGAAAACCAGTACTGCTGTGGGAGGCCAAGTTTGACTAATGGATTTGCTGATTTGTGATTCTGAGTGACGTAGACCTTATTTCAATTCTAAGATGCATATATTTTCACATTTAAACATCTCTGAAGTCAGGATGTGCCTTCCAGTAAATGATGTCATACAAGGATAGATGGGACCTTTTTTCCTTTTCTCGTTTTTAGCGGGTTGTAGAATAATGATGCATCTTATAATTTATAGCATTTAGATCTGATGAAATATATGGATAGATAGATAGAACATAGAGATGAAAAAGCAGAGACAGAAAAAGAGAGGGGATTCAGAGCCCTGGCATGAAACATAGGGTGTGTGTGGTGGACAAGGCTGTACCCTTAGGACTGGATGTGGCCCCCCAGCCTGAGATTAGGCACTGGGTGCCTGGGGAGACGCAGGTCCGGCTGAGTTTGAGGGGCTGCACGGCAGGTCCCAGTAATGCCTTCCTGGGCAGACGAATCAGCATGATGTCATCATTGTGGTCGTGGGCACTGAGGTCCTGGTTGAACCCAGGATGAGGGAAGAAGTCTGTGGCCTGGAACAGCTGCTCTGTACCCTCCCATTTCCAGAGGTGGTGCTCCCCGAGTCGGACCCACAGAAACCTGTTGGGCAGGTCCCAGAGGTCAAGGTGGGATAAGGTGAGGTGTCTTCTCAGCCCCTGTCCTCTTTCTTCTGTCCACCAGGATGCTGTGTGACTCTCCACAAGCCACACACCCTCTCTGGGCCCCTGCTTCCTACTCCATCTCTTTGTCTGCCTCTAACTTTGTACCTCTCCCCAAAAGCTCACACCTCTTCCTAGCCCCATGTCAAGTAAACCACCTTCCTCTCTGCCCCACCTGGAGCCTTAGTGGTGACCTGAGTCCCCTGGAACCATGGAGACAGGTGGAGGCTCCACCTACCACCCAAACACAGACCCCCCGCCCCCGCCCTCACAGGTCTGGTGGTTTCCGTAGGGAGTGGCTCTCTGTGTTTCGGTGTGTGTGTATGGAAGGGGTGGGATATGGAAAAACCCCAAGTTGGGGTCATCTGTAGGCTCAGGCTTTTCCTGTCTGCCAAATCCCTCATCTCTCAATGCCTTTCTTCCTGAGGTCTGGCCTCAAGCCCTCTCACTGCAGTCCCAGTCCAACTCCACTTGTTCTGCTCTGGGTTCATGCCCTGGATAGCTGGGGACCCTCAAGGGGTCTATATGTCCGTCCCCCAGACTCTGACTCTGACATTAGGGACGAGACTAATGACTGAGAACTCAGGGTTTGAGGAGTATGAGGTGTTATTTCTACCTTTTCCCTCTCTGTCACCTTGTTGCCTTGGTTCTGTGTCTGGGAAACCAGTCCCAACCCCACCTCCCAGCCCCAACTTGTCCCTGTTCCTGAATCTCTTGTACCTCCATATTTCGGCTTCTCCCTTTCTTTGTCTTTGGGTCTGAAATCTGAACATTGTTTTCCTAGCCTGATGTACAGGCCTGAGCTAAAAGAGGCTCCAGCATAGAGTGATGCATGATGGGAAATTCTCACACAGCATCCTGTATAGCCTCTGTGCTTCATTCCTAGAGGGAAGAACTTCAAACAGGAGGGATGGCTCCTTTCCCCAGATAATATAAAAAGGATTTCTGCATCAGGTAGATTCTAGAATTCTGTTAGAATGCCCAGAATCTAAGATTCTAGAATTCTAAGATTCTAACACCTTAGGAATCCACGATTTCAGAATTCTATGAGGCTCAAGTTCTAGAATCTTATGAATTCGAGATTCTAACGTTTTCGATTTCTCTGGATCAAAAAGTCTAGGATTTGGGGGACTTCCCTGATGGTCCAGTGGCTAAGACTCCACGCTCACAGTGCAGGGGTCCCAGGTTTGATCCCTGGTCAGGGAACTAGATCCCACGTGCATGCCACAGCTAAGAGTTTGCATGCTGCAACTAAAAAAAAAAAAAAAAAGATCCCTCATGGTGCAACGAAGATCCCGCATACCTCCTCAACCAAGACCTGGCTCAGCCAAAATTAAATAAGTAAATGTCTAGGATTTTTAAATTATCTGAATGAAATCTAGGAAACAAAGAACCTAGAATTCTAATATTCTGGGATAATAAGGCAAGAATTTCATCATTCTAGAATTCTAGAAATCTTTGATTTTAGAAATGTAAGGATTAGGGTTCCAATAGTTTGAAACTCTTGAATTCTCTTGGTTAAAACTTTGGGGATTTTAGAAATCTTGAATGATAGCATGCTGGGATACTAAATCCACCAGATTCTAGACATGTATGAATAGAAGCTTCTAGAATTCTCTTGGTTCAAGATTCTAGAATTCTACGGATCACAGTATTCTAGGGTACTGTAATTCAGGGATTCTAAGACTGTGATCTTCTGTGCTCAGTGAACCTAGCTAGAACAGTTTGAATCTAAGATTCTAGGGTTGCGCTATCCAGCACAACTATTGAGCACTTGAAATGTGGCTAGTCCAAATTGAGCTATGCCGTACTTGTAAAATACATGTCTGATTTCGAAGGCTTAGTATAAAAAAAAAAGACTAAACTATGTCATTCATAAATATTTAAAAATTGATAATTACATGTTGAAATAATATTTTGAGATGGCAAGTTAAATCTATTATTGAAATTAATTTTACTCATTTCTTTTTTACCTTTTTAATGTGTCTACTAGAAAACTTAAAACTTTCCTCTGTGATTGGGGCTATATTTCCATTGGACAGTGCTGCTCCAGGCTTCTCAGAGTCTACCAGTCTCTGAATCCAGGATTCTACAATTTAGTGAAGCTAATGTAACATCTCCTGGATCCAAGATTTTAGGATTCTACAACCCTGGATTTTTCTGGGTCAGAGTCTAGGCTTCTAAGAGTCTACGTTGCAAATCTTACACTCTTAGCAACAGATTCTTTTGGACGCTAGGATTTGGAGAGTGGGCATTTTGTCATTCTAAAGAGTTGAACTTTGGGGAACAGAAATGGAGGCTCAGCTCTTCCTGCCCACAGCTCCCTCCCTCCTCTTCGAGGCTCCTTGCCCTCTCTCCCTTTCCTGACCTCCAGCCCCCCACCAGAGTGGCCCGCCCAGGTCACTCACGGCTTGCGGCAGTGGGCAGCTGTCAGCAGCCAGCGGTCATTGATGAGGGTCGCCCCGCAGAAGAGTTGGGTGAGGAAGAAGAGCCCGACCTGCCAGGGCTGCGAGTTGGGGTGGCATTCCTTGCCCCCGATGGCTCGGGTGTCTGCCCAGCTTTGCCCTGGGGTGGGGGTGAGAGGCAGAAGGGTTGGTGAAGAGCCAGGTTGGGCGGGCTGCGGACAGATGCTGGGATGCCTAGAGGGCAGGAGTGGGCGCCTGGGCGACAAAGAGCATGGTAGAGGGGCACCGGGGGGCCATGGAGGGGCAGCATGATGGCAGAACGGCAGGAACTTCACCTTCCAGGAGAGAAAGCAGAGCACAGATGAATCCCAGCCTCATGACCTCCAGGGTGCTTTGGTCCTAGAGCCTGCTCTCCAAGTCCGTGCTTCTTTACGGTAAATCATACTATATTCCTCCTCCCTGGGGCCGCCCCGGTGATTAATCTGGGCTGGGAAGTACTCCAGGGGGAGGGGGAAGCGTCCTCCCTGGGGGCCTTGGGAAGGAAGACAGCACAGAGAGACCACTTGTCAGGATGAGCTGGTGGCCTGCAGCATCAGGGAATCCCGCTAAATGGGGGGAGGGGCTCAGGGATCCTGCTAAATGGAGGAGGGGCTCTGGGTTGTATAGTCCTTCTGGGGTTCACCAGAGGGAGGAGCCCAAAGTAACCCTGACTTCTGGTTACAGCATCTACATACAGGATATTCTGTGGCCTGGAGGAGGAAGAGGGAAAGGAGGAAGATCCCTAAAGTGGAGTCCTGGGGTGGAAGCAAGTTTATCTTGAATGTAGCTGCAGTGGGCTGGGACCAAGGCACTGGGCAGGCTGGAGGTTTACATAGAAGGACCTCCCAGAAATCAGGCAAGGAGTGGGAGAAAGAGTCAGGACTCAGAGCAAAAAGGCAAGCAAGAAGGCAGGATGGGGGGAGGCAGGGAAAGAGGGAGAAAGAAAAACAAAACAAAACAGAGAGATAAAGACATTGAAGGATGCAGGATGAGATAAGGAAAGAGAGACAGAAACACTGTCTGGAGTGGCAGAGACTGCAAAGAGAGCTGTACATGTGTACACACCCACAGAACCCTCCCTGCACTGGGGGTTTGGGCCCCTTTCCGTGAGGACAGAGGCCCCTCCTAGCATGGTTGCAGCTGGGTTAACTCATTCTTGTCATAACCTACTTCCTTTTTCACATCCTCACCACTCCAAGGATCCAGGTGCCCAACCTAGGTGGAACTAAGCACTTTTCCCATTCTCTTAATGCCACCATAGCTTGGCTAAGTCCTGAGAACATGGTCTTGTTTTTTTCCACCCATCTCCTCCCCTCCACTGTCCTTCCCATCACCTCATCTTTCCTGCCTCTCCCCCCATCCCTCCTTCTCACCAGATGGGCAGCCCTTGGAGGGCCAAGCCCAGATCTGACTCATCTCTGTGTCCCTCACATCATCCTGTTCAGGGCTGGGATCATTGGGGGGGGGGGTCTCAGGACATGATAATTGAATGAGTGAATGTCTTTCTCCACATCTTTCTTTTTCCAGTGAACTCCAACTCATTCTTCAAGATCCAACCTAAATGCCCCTTCCTCCAGGAAGCCTTCTCTGATTTCTCCAGGCAGAGTCCATCTTTTCCAGCCTGGGCACTTCCAGGCTTCTTCCACTTTCTGTTGCTGTAAGCCTGGTTATCAGGCTGGGTCTGGGCTCCCCTTGAATGTGTACAACTCACCATGATTTAGTGGTTTGGAGCATGGACTGTGGAACTGGACCATGTGGGTCCAAACCTCAGTGCTGGTAATTATTAAGTGTGTGACCTTGCGCAAGTCACTGGACATCTCTCAGTTGCTCCATCTATTAAGTAGCAATAATAACTGGGGTTGTGGGAGGATTATGTGAATTAACACATATGAAGCACTTACAACTGTGGTAGGCATTCAATAAATATGTTTGTCCCTCACCTATAGAGCCCTGCACTGCCACCATCATAATACATATTATCCATGGCTGCAGTTGCCTTATACCCTCTGCAGACTGAGAAGTCCTCGAGACCAGGGACTAAATACCCACTATGTGCTAAGTGCCATACTAACTGCTTTATAGAACTTTTTTTTTTTTTTTTTTGAGATACATGGGGCTCTCACTGTTGTGGCCTCTCCTGTTGCGGAGCACAGGCTCCGGACATGCAGGCTCAGTGGCCATGGCTCATGGGCCTAGCCACTCCACGGCATGTGGGATCTTCCCGGACCGGGGCACGAACCCATGTCCCCTGCATCGGCAGGCGGACTCTCAACCACTGCGCCACCAGGGAAGCCCTATAGAACATTTTGATTGCTAACTTTATTGACTGTTTACTCTGTGCCAGGCAGTTGGCTAAACATTTCATGTATGCTTTCTCATTTAATTCTCACAAGAGTCTAACCAATCTCTATTTCATAGTGGGGATAACTGTGGTAGAGAGAGCATTCAAGTTTTTTGCTCAAGTCACACAGTGAGTTACAGAAATATATTTTCTTCCTGGTGAACTCCTACTGATCCTTTAAAACCCCGTGCCTATATCCCCTCACCTGAGAAGCCTTCCCCGATTCCTTCAGGAGGAGTCCTTAGGCCCTCTTGGGGCACCCTATGCCTCCTTCTGTTGCAACACTGATCAATTTGTGTTATTTGTTAATTCAACAATGTGTTAAATGCCTTCTGTGTGTCAAGCATCAGACCAGGTGCTTAGAAAACCACAGTGAATAAATCAGAGTCCCCGCCCACATTGACTGGGTGAGGGGAAGTAGGGGACAGACCATTATGGAGTAAACAGATAAATGAGATCATTTTTGCTATAACATGTGCTGCAAAAGAAATAAACAGAGCAATGGATTAGTGGCCAGGGAGGAGGAGTACAGGGGGACACCCCTTTCGCCAGGGCAATCCTGGAAGGCCTCCTTGAAGAAGTGACCTTTAAATGGAGACCCAAATGACAAGAATGTAAGGCTTCCTGACCTGACTAGCAGCTTCTTGAAGGTAGGGCTCACTCTGATTCATCTCTAAGACCTGGCATAGGACATGGCTCAGTAAACATTTATGATGTGACTAAAGGAATGGGTGAATTACCTTTAAAAATGAATCGAATTTTTGAGCTCCCACCTACTTCGCTTCTGATTCTTGCATAATGAACTCAGCTGATAAGCCTGACTGATGTTTCCTGGGTGTGCTAATAGGAGTGGGGGGATAGTCAGCGGAAGAGAGCTGTGTAGTCTCTGCTCAAAGCCTGTGCCCCGATCTCCTGTGGGCTCTGTGGGGCAGGGACCTTGTGGTCACCACTGTGTTCCCAGCGCCCAGCACCGGGACTGCCATACAACAGGTGCTCAATAAATTGGTGTGGGCTTCCCTGGTGGCCCAATGGTTAAGAATCCACCTGCCAGTGCAGGGGACATGGGTCTGAGCCTTGGTCTGGGAAGATCCCACATGCCACAGAGCAACTACGCCCGTGCGCCACAACTACTGAGCCTGCACTCTAAAGCCTACGTGCCACAACTACTGAGCCCACGAGCCACAACTACTAAAGCCCGCGCGCCTAGAGCCCATGCTCCGCAACAAGAGAAGCCACTGGAATGAGAAGCCTGCGCAACGAAGAGTACCCCCTGCTCACAGCAACTGAAGAAAGCCCACACACAGCAACGAAGACCCAACACAGCCATAAACAAATAAATAAATATTTAAATATTAAAAAAAAAATAAAATAAAATGAAACTGAAATACTGTATTTTAAAATAAATAAATAAATAAATTGGTGTTTGAAAGGGGAAACAGGGAAGTAGTTAGGACTCCGTGCTCTCACTGCCAAGGGCCCGGGTTTGATCCCTGGTCGGGGAACTAAAATCCCACAAGCCTCGCCAAAAAAAAAACAGGGGAGGGGTGTGCAAGTGGACAAAACAACCTGTGCTGGATGGAAAATTTCTACTGTGCACGTGTTCTGCTTATGTTGCCACTCCAAAGTCTGGGCTAAGTGGAGACACTGAAACTTCTGTTAGCTTTGCCTGGATTTTGTGTATAATAGCCCCTAGCATGGGAATATCTACACAGGGACAGTTTCAGGGACAGGAAAGAAGCCCTCCTCCCAATTTTCAGGACAAAATTTCAAAGCCAATTTGGGATGGGGGTGGGGATGGAGTTGGACTTAGGGTGTCTGGGTGTTGGATCAGGGAATGAGAATGGAGACGTGGTAGAGCTGGAATTGGAGCCGGTAGTAGGTGAGGAGATGGGGACGGATCTAACAAAGAAACCAAAAAATTTCCTCTAAATTTCAGAGGGCTTCTTTGCATAAACTTAGCAACTGAAGTGGGGTGAGGTCTTCTGGTCTTAGAGGCTGAGATGGATGCAGGGTGAGGTTCCTTGAGTTCCAGTGGCCCCAGGAAGGCACAGAAGGTACCAGATGACTCAGAGACAGCCCAGTTCCTCCTGGAATAGGAGGAACAGGAGTTGGGTAGACTCAGACATGGGAAACAGTGGGAGGGAAGAAGGAAGTGGTTAAGAGGTGCTTCATGGAACTTGACAGGAGGGTGAGGAATGTAATTCTCCCATCAGCCCTGAGGGATGGGGATGGGGATGGTATGGGGGGTTGGGATGGTAGGGTACCCCTGTGCTTTTCTCCCCAGGACACAAAATCCACACATTCCCACCAGGACCTGTTGCCATTTAATCAGAACTCACTACCCACTGTGTTAGTACTTTGCATGACAATTACCATAACAATCTACACACGTTATAGTCTCTTCATAACACGTTTATGAGTACACACTTCATTGTTCCCATTTTCCAGGTGAGGAAACTGAGGCTCAGAGAAGACGCTTGGCTTGCCCAAGGTCACACATCAGGGAGTGGTGGAGGAAGCCAGGTTGGGTGATTGATAACTTCTCTCAGAGACTAGTGACCACCGGCTTCCTCGTTTCTCATGAACAAAATTTTGCCACCACGTTCTGCATCTTGGCTTCAATGCGGGCAGAGAGCAGCAGTGGGCAGGAGGCATGAGGGAAGACAAGAGATGTTAATAGGTGTGGATGGGTGACAGAAGTTTGAGTGGGGCAGGGGGAGAGTCCAGCTTTCTGCGGGGGAAGGAGGGGAGGAAGGAGGAAGAGGGCAGATGGTGAAGCAGCTGCAGGGCCTTTGGGTCACTTGGAGCCGATGGTTTTCTCTATCCAGTCGCGGTATTTGCAGATCTCAGTGTAGACAGCTGGATGCTGAGCAGAGCCGCAGGGGTAAACGCCCCATGAAAGGATGCCCTGAAGGGTCTCGTCACAGACCAGAGGGCCACCTGAGTCACTCTGGGGGTGGGAGGAAGGAGAGATCAAATAAATACACCAGTGGAAAGGCTGCCACTTGGGGGCTGGGGTAGTGATGGGGAAGGGAGGTGTTGGGTAGGGTTGGAGCTGGGTTGGGGTTGGGGGTGGGGTGGGGTTGTGATGGAGTTGGACTTGGGGT